AGCAGACTTATAACGTGTATCTCTAATAATAGAACTTGCGATAGCATCTAGAAACAGCAAATATAAGAAAGACGAGAATATATTGTTCTGCATAGAATCGAAGTTAGTTAAATATATTGCATGAAAAGAAGTTATATGTAGCGATTGCTATTACAGATTAATATTATATAACATGTAACATTGATTTTCTCATAGATAAGAACTTAGCGATTTTTTGATGAATCACTTCTCGATTCAGTCTATCAATTCTAGTGACGAAATAGCCAATCTATTTGAAATGTATACCTTTTTCCGATAAACGAAATATATATTTCAGTAAAACATATTTAAATTATTTCCTGCAATTAAAAGAAATTAGTGTAATATCATTATGTATTAACATCGTCATCACTTTTGCTGCAATAAACATATGTTATGATAACCAACATGGTTTTTTTAAATAATAATCGAATATTTTCGATATACAAATTCTAAAAATTAATACTATCAATATAAATTATTTATTTTGCATTTACTCAGCTACACGAGTTATATTGCAACACTGGAATTTTTTTATTAAACCGATTTATCGATGTTTTTTATTTAGCTGGATTTTCCAAATATTTGAGTTACGTTGTACTCTGTGATTCTTGATGCTATGTTATGTGGATAAATTATCAAAATGAAATGTAACTCAGTAACTATTTTTAGTTTTTACCACAACAGAATTTTGTTTATGATGTTTTTTCTAAAATGGGACGCGATAAAAAAACTGATTTATGATAAAAAAAAGTTGGGTTTATATTACATAACCATCTGAATTTACAGATATGAGACTCGCCATACAAAATCGTAAACTTTGGAACTGTTTTAAAAAAGTGAATTTTATAATCTAAAGATATACAGATAAATGTTTTTAAAAAATTAGAAAAGTGTAATAAACGTGATGGTTCTCACAGAGATGCTAATCATGCCCAAATTTTTGCTAAGGAAAGTAGCTAATAAAACTGTGATTGTAAGAGAACATTTGATGGTTCCGGTACGCTCTGTGTATTAAAATAGAGAATTAGAAATGGAATTAAGATTCCTGGGAAATACCATTATGTTTTTACCAACGTGACGTGGAAGAAGCAGCGGATGATACTTCGAGGTAAAAAAAAATTACAAGAACTTACTATTGTAACCGTGTTTATCTTTGCGGTAGCCGCACGATTAAGATGCGGCATCGTGTCGCTCATAAATCGCACATGTGTCAAGCGTGGGAAAATAACTGCCCGTAAGATACGCTAAAATGTTTCTATTTCGCTTAATGAGCTAGTAATGAATTTAATGAGTTTCGGTATCATGTATTTTTTACGACTATTACCTCTATGTGAATGTAGAAGATCGTTTGGCGGCTTAAGAAACCAATCTCATGAATAATCATGACATACGGGATAGTAAATACCACGTTCAAATATAAAGAACAATCAGAAAGAAAGCGATTTATTAAATTGGTTTTTTGTACTTATTATTGAAAAAATCAATCTTAATAATTAATCATCTTTTCTCTCTTTGTCTCTCTTCTTTAATAATTTCTTCTAAATAAAAATTCTATTTCTACTAATTCTCCTTATCATTTTTCAGGATCATAATGGATTTAGAAAAATTCGATTTCCTATAGAAGTCTTTCGTGATTAACCAAACGTTAACATTTACAACTGGTTCTAATTAACAAAAGGCTTCTCACCTTTTATAAAAAATTTATGGAGCTGTTCTCTCATTAAAGAAAACGACTGTACATAAATATTATGGAACATGATGATATAGATAATTAACAATTTAATTTGTAACTCGTGTACAGTGTAGCTTATATATAATAGTTTCTATTGAAATTATTAAAAAAACGCTATATATATCACATAGTTATTTTTAACGTTCTGAAACACCGCTAGATAGAGATTGTTCGTAATTATTTAATAACACAAAAAATATTCCGCGGACAACAAGCTATGTTTTTATAATTTATTATAATCATTTCTGTAAAAACCGATTTATTAATTTTTATGCATCCTCCTAGCATATATTATAATTAATTTTCTCGTCTGAAGTCAAAAAACAACTAGGTATTGGTTTCTATTGCACATTTTCAGGGAAAAAAAATGTGTGGAATTCCCGCAATTATATATTCTAAGACGTCAAAGATTGTGAACGATATACAATAATTGCTTCTTCGATATCAGTGAAGGCAATCGCTTACGATCAACATAAGGAATCGACACTTAACTGTCGATGCATGGTATGAAGTAATAATATAAATTTATATTCACCGATTGCCCATTAATCGCTAAAAACGGCATCCAGATTATTATTTCGAAGTAATTTATCCGTATTTATTTTGATTTCTCGGTATTTATCTTGATCTGGAAGAAATGATTGTAACAGTTTCTAAATTTGTAAACTCATAATCTCTATAGTCTGAATTTTGAAGTTCTCGCAAGGGAAACGATTATATCAAAGGTATTGTTTTCCATTTAGATAAAGAGACTCAGGATTTATGATTACGGACTTTAAGGATCGTCTTCCGCAGGATGACTTGATGATTTATCATTCTTTAGTTATCACGGTTTCTTCATCGTTTCCATGGAAATCTAAATCGCGTCCAATAAAACATAGTAATCAGGTCAATGTCTAGATGTTTAATAGTGAAAGTTATCGTATTCTTTTGATCGGATTTTTGTAATATAAGCGAATGACGACTTTGAGAGTCAGAAGCGCACTAATGAGATTAGTTCATTAAGTAAATATTTCTTTTCGCGTGTTATACATTCTGTGCTAAGTAGGCAATTGATAAACTACTGTAAGAAAATAGAGAATTTATCGATGACGGAAAGCACGAACTATCGCTTGAGTTTTTATTTTCGTTATACGCGTCACATTAATCTTTTAAATCAATTAGAAGATTTGTTGTATTTCCCCGCTAGACTTAATTACTTACTAATATATCAAATTATAAAAATATGTGCATCGAGAATTCTAAGAAATTCATAAAAAATAATCTAAAAATGTAGTTGCTTACTATAGAATAATAATCTGACAATATCAGTTTCTTAAATAGCGCGTTTTATAATACAAATTAAATAGCTCCTGCAAATCTATTCTAAGTTTCAAGAAATATACAATTGTACTTAAGTGCGACATAATTTTACAACATAAACAAGTAAAATATTTTATCTGTCATGGAATCTCTCTCTCTCTCTCTCTCTCTCTCTCTCTCTCTCTCTCTCTCTCTCTCTCTCTCTCTCTCTCTCTCAGAGTATGCCTTATTTTATTTCGATATTTTAATTTACGTACTGCGTATTATTAACACGCACTTCGTACATTTCATAGAACCACATATGTACGCATAGTGCGTGATTATTCGATATCTAAACAAACCACAATCTTTATCGCGTTTGTACACACGGGGACAGGAATGCCTTCTGATATGAAGTTACATGTGCTCGTCGGACATGTCAGGCATACCGGAGAGGTGAAGCACCATGCGTGCTTCACCTCTCAATATTCATGCATTATAACTGTAGATATTCGAAAAACGGCAACGCCGTCTCAGAGCGGGAAAATGTAATTGACAGTTCATAGTTTGACGTATCCGTTTTTCGAATATTATTTTACATATATTTTTTCGAATATTATTTTATATACGTGCATTATTTTACATATTTTAAAATTGTAAAATTTAAAGCTGATCACTTTAAAGACAAGTTTTATGGAGAATTTATTCGTTTTTAACATCTGCTTAACATAGATGCTCATTAGACATCTATTAGATGTCTATTATATTATTTTATCGATTTAAATACGTTTGATAAATATAATAAAACAAAACCTATACTGAAATATTAAGTTCTATGATTTACCAATTAATATAAAATTTTTTTTTCACAGTTATACCGCCTATTTCCTCGTACAATTTTGTGAAAATACGAACATCATGATTGTCATTCGGGAGATGGATTTCCTATTATGTAATATTAGCAGGAGTATGACACAGGTGATAAATGTATAAAATGACATTGAGTTTCACTGAAGATACCCGCTGGAGGCTGCGAATGACCTTCGTAAAACGCTTTATGTTATCGATTTAACTATTCATCTTCAGTGACCGGTGATAAATAAACGATAGCAATGTCAATGCCCAAACGGCATCACTGGTATTGAGGAGAACGCTTTCTTCAGGTATTCTTTGCATTTAAACATCGATTACTGAGTGTACAAAATTCGTACAAAGCCTATATTGTTATATGAGTAATTATAAATCTACATTTAATGTATTATATATCATCTGTTCATAACAATGGTAAGATTTAAAATAGCTAGGATGATCATTAGAGAAAGTATTTTTGTTTGCATGACTCGATTGTCTGTCGACACCGTGATTAAATCTTGCAACTTATTTCGCGATAATTGCTGATTGCTTGGCCTTCTCTCGTTCATTTGAATCGTATAATAAATACTATTTTACTATAAATAGACGATACGTAAAATTCCTCTCTTTTCCATATTTCTTTGAAGATGCATAATCGATACGGTACAAATTATTATTTTAACATAAATCCTTCTAGAAGATGTTTATTTGAATATTCTTGACGTGTACTTTTTTTAAAGGCTTTTAACTCGTTTTGCCAATTGGTTCTTAAAATATCAATATGTTCATTATTTTGCTTGTTATTCTATATTCCTTTAAAACCTGTTTATTCTGTGTAATGTAAGAGGAACGGCGTTTATCGAAGTTGATCAAAAAATCGTCGAAAGTGTAAAAGGCTGCGCGACGACAAGTCTGTGTAGATTTTTACTCAGAATGATACGCACTCATCGGCGATTACCTTAGCCTTGGCCACGGGTTTTTTTGTTCTTGTTGCTTCTCAATCTGAACTGCGCTCAGTAAGCCGATGTTTTAGGAAGGAACGAGCGGCCGCAGTGGGAGGAAAGATATAAAGACTCGGTAACCGCGGCCGATCAGGATAGAAGTGAATATCATCATGCGGCAGTATCGGGCGATCGGCCTTTTGGCCTTATTACTTGCTACAGCATGTGTCCATGCACGAGGTAAATTATTTTCGTCTTGTGTCATCATCATGTATTATTATCATTAGTGATCTCAAGTCTCACGCTAAGATATGCTTCACTTCTGTTATTTTTTAATTTTCTTTTCTGTTAATATTCAAAAAGGATCACATATCATAAAAGAGACTTCTCAGAAACAAAGAAAAGCAGATTTTAGTACTCAATCCTTAATTAGTTCAAAATTATCGTAAATAAAATACCGTCGGAATGTTTTCAACTGTGTTTATGTGTTTTCAACTATGTGTTTATGTTTTCAAAATCATCACAGTATTCTTTGATGAAAAAAATAATTATTTTCTTTTATTTATCAGTAAAAAAATGTTAAATCATGACCTTACTGCAATTACAGATTTAATTATCTCTTACAATTATATTATGTATCCTTATCTCTTTATGCGTGGCTTAGAAAATCTCTCTAAAACTACTATTAATTTCAAAACATCAAATCTTCACGAATAAATCTTTTCGTTTCTATTATGATACTTTCATTTAAAATTAATATTTTTAATCCATGAAGTATAATGCATGCAATAGAAGTTCGTATTTCTAAGATTTTACTATTAGTAAGACGACGATAATCTTATCATGATATAACGCTTATAAATATGTGTAAATTGCATACATTCTTTTTTATAACATCAGTTTTACAATATCAAGTTGCTGCTTGTTTTCAATAAAGATGTAATATTATTTATTTCAACAGTATAAAATTATGAAAAAATTAAGATTTTAAAATTATTCTTGCTCAAAAATCAATAACGAACTTTATTATGATTACAGAAATTTATTTTGCAATTACAAAAACATAGTTCATGTACTTGAACTCTGATCTAAGATAATCGAGTATTTTGCTTAAGTATACTTGAATTTCTTGCAAGCATTAAGCAATTATGTATTTTGTTGTAATATAAAAGAGAAGAGAACACATAAAACTGATTATATGAGAAAACAAGATTTTATATGATTGTAGTTTTAATTTCAATTTTTTTCGAAAACTGGCCATTTTTAATAATTTATGTTAACTATCGCATTCAAAAACATTTTGAGAAATAAATAATATTTTATCAAAAATCTATGAATATTTCATGTGATATAAACGAGTTCGAAATTATCCTTCCAATGATTCTGCTTTTAAGCTAACGTTGAGAACAGTAATAATTCTTTCAATTTGTTGCAGGAACCGAATTACTGCGTTCCAAGCGTGGTGGATCATTCTCCTCCAGCAGTGCTAGCAGTTCGGCCAGCGCCAGTTCGTTCGGTGGTGGTAGCAGTTTTGCCAAATCTGATGCTCAAGCTATAGGCAGTGCCTCAGCAGGTGCACAATCCTCGGCTATAGCGAATGCCGGTGCTGGTGGATACGGAGGTGGTGGTCACGGCGGTTTCGGAAGCAGTGGTGGCGGTAGCCAGGGTGGATTCGGAGGCAGCGGTACCGGTGGCCACGGTGGACTCGGAAGCGGCGGTGTCGGTGACCACGGTGGATTCGGAGGTGGTGGTGGCGGTGGCCACGGTGGACTTGGAAGCGGCGGTGGCCACGGTGGACTTGGAGGTGGCGGTAGTTCCGGTGGACTCGGTGGCGGTAGCCACGGTGGACTCGGTGGCGGTAGCCACGGTGGACTCGATGGCGGTAGCCACGGTGGATACGGTGGCGGTAGCCACGGTGGACTCGGTGGCGTGGACTCGGTGGCGGTGGACTCGGTGGCGGTAGCCACGGTGGACTCGGTGGCGGTGGACTCGGTGGCAGCGGTGGTCACGGTGGATTTGGAGGCGGAAGTGCCAGCAGCGGCGCCAATGCCGGTGCTAGTAGCGGTGGATACGGAGGTGGTGGTGAATTAGGTAATTAATATTTTATTTTAATTACTTATTCTTGTAACACAGTGCAGATTATCTCGTTATCGATTTATATATCGATTTCAATATGATTTTTATACGATATTAGTTTTGCGATTAATTAAGAAATATCTATATTTTAAAATATTGTAAATGTAATATTTTTGTAGGTCACGGAGGCAGTGGAGGATACGGTGGTGGTAAGTCCAAAAAGATGAAGTATTTACTTCATGTGTAGAATTTTACGTATAAAAGATAGACATATATATGTAATAATACTTAAAAGCTTAGTAGTAGCTTACGTTCAAGCCAAGCTTGCTTTGCATTTTAATAAAATTAAACAGCATAACGCAATGAAAAATAAATATTACGATAAAAAATTTACTACCTTTTTTATAGATATGCTAAAGCAATCGCTAATTTAAAAAGTTCTACTTCGTAGAATTGTGCCTCTAATTTTAGCTTTCACTATAATAATATCTTATAATTTAATATAAGCAGTTTAAAAAGAGCATTTTAATTAATATATAAGACCCCAATTACTTATAACATCCCGATTAGCTACAGAAATGTAAAATATAATAACGCGACTAACAATCTATATGCTTTTAGGTAGTAGTGGAGGAGTCGGAAAACTTAGTGGGGCTCTTGGAGGTGGTAACGTTGGTGCAGGTGGTTACGGTGGGTCTGGGGCTGGAAGCTACGGTGGAGGTAGCTCTGGTGCCGGCGGTTATGGCGGAAGTAGCCCTGGAGGGCATGAACTTGGAGGATATGGTAGTGGTAGTTCTGGTGGTGGTGGTTATGGTGGAGCTGGCTCTAACACAGGTAGCTACACCGGAAGTAGCGGTGGTGCCGGAGGTTACGGTGGCGGTGGCCATGGCACCGGTGGGTATGGAGGCGGCAGTTCGCCGGGCGGCGGTTTTGGAGGTGGACGTAAGTGAATATTAGAAAATATATAACATTCTATATCACTGAAATCTATTTGTTTGAAGCACGAAATCTAGTTTTTAATTTCTATATTTTTGTATGCTTCGTAGCTTTTGCATTTCTACCGTCTTTTATGTTTAAATATCTATAAGATATTTTAGATTTCGATAAATATATAGCGTTATTTCTTTTGATATTTAAAGTATCTATTTTTGTTAAAAAAAAGTATCAAGGCATTATTGAATTTCCATTTTTTAAATGAATTTAGAGATACAAATAAATAATAGAATATTGTAGTTAAATTGAGAAGTAAACTTTACTAAAATAATAACAAAATGTTAATCTGAGATTTAATCATTAAATTATCAAATATTACAATTTGGAAAATTGTAATAATTGATAATTTTTTCCAAATTTTTGTTATTTTCTGATTAAAGACTAGTTTTAAATTTTTGTAATGTAGATGATGGCGGTGGTTTTGGAGGAGGTGTATCGAAAGGTTCAGCGAATGCTAATGCTGGTGCTTCAGCCGGAGCTGGTGGATTGAGTGGAGGATATGGCGGAAGTGGCCCGGGCAGTGGAGGATTTGGCGGTGGACATGGAGGTTTAGGTGGTGGACATGGAGGCGGTTTAGGAGGTGGACATGGCGGTGGCCTAGGAGGTGGTCTAGGCGGTGGACATGGCGGTGGCCTAGGAGGTGGACACGGCGGTGGCCTAGGAGGTGGACACGGTGGTGGCCTAGGAGGTGGACACGGCGGTGGCCTAGGAGGTGGTTTAGGCGGTGGACACGGCGGAGGTGGTTTAAGCGGTGGATACGGAGGAGGTGGTTTGGGCGGTGGACACGGCGGAAGTGGAGGTCTAGGAGGTAGTTTGAATAAAAATTGAAGAATGATTTGTACAAAGTTAATGACAGAGATGTGCATTTTATCATATTGTTTCCGATATTTTAGGCGGATGTCCTGGAGGATGTGGTGGTGGCGGTGGAGCAGCAGGTGCTAATGCCATAGCCAGTGCTAGCGCGAATGCAAATGCTGGCGGTGGAGGTGGAGGATATGGTGGCCACGGTGGTCTGGGAGGTGGTCATGGACCAGGAGTAGAGTATGTATTATCAAATACATATGAAGAAATATTTTAATTGTCTTCAATATCTCAATTCAGAAACTATTAAGCGCGATACTTTTGCAAAAGAAAAGATGAAAAATGGGAGGAAAAAAATATAAGAAAATATCTATTATTATTAAGATTAATATCGCGAATTGTTGAATACCCCGAATGAATAATCCAAGAAGCATAATTATGATGATTCAATAATGACATCAGAATTTAGCGCGTGACAAATTAACTCATGTAAAAGTTCCTTCTACAGTGGAACAGATTTCAAGGTGAACAAGTTTCTCGGTTTCAGAACGAGTGTTTTCATAACTACCGTTTATTAATCAATGATAATTATGGATGATTATGGAAATCAGCGAGACATGCTAATTTAATGAACAAATAACTTTAACCATTAATAATATTTCTTACAGATATTTTAATCTTTTCTTTGTGTTTGCAGTTTATTCTCCCGTATTGGCGATACAGACGAAGGTACGAGTCAGAGTGGTGCTGTTGATAATGCTAAAGGTGTTTATAGCAGTAGCGCGGCAAATATAGATAGTTCTGGTAAAGGTACTTATTCCGTAAAAGCGGGTAAAATCCCATAAATCAGGCATTTACATTTTGTTTCATTAATTTTTCAAAATTTGATGTTACTTTGTTAAAGATACTCTTAAAAACCGAAGAACGAAACTATAATTCCAATGTATTTTGACATAAACGTAAAATCTACGCTTTGTTTATTTTCTAATCGTCAAGAATAGCGTTTAAAATAAATCAATGTAATTATATATAATACTTTTTACACTTCAATTATAATATCTTTTTCTGTTTAAATGAAAAATATTATCGGAATATTACGTAATAACATACTGAATATTTCATTGTGTATTTCAAAAGCTTACAACTGCGGTTTTTAATGATAAGTTCCATTGATTAAATCTGACCTTCTAAGTTAACTATGTATTCTATGCATTTTTATTAAATGTTAAATGATCGTATAGATTTTTTAAATAATTGTATAGATTTCTTAATAAAAATATAAATATAAATAACACATAGTACGTAAATAATTATCATGCACTGATTAAGTAACACTTGCACAAATAGATTATTACATACGATGTTATTTTGCTATTTAATAAGTATCCGTTAGTTAATTCCGTTTTGATTAACTGGGAAAACTTGTTTTTAATTCTCATCGTTAGTAAATGCTCATCAATCCAACATAATTTATTACTAATCGCGTTATGCAACCAGTGATTATAGAAGTCTGAATCGAAAGATGTTTATAATGCTTGTAGGAACTGTAAATCCGGTTACATATCTACTGTTTCTCCTATTCACAATGTAATTGTATTTCCTACACAATCGAGTGCATCACTTTGCTCAGTGCAATTGCATACGCGAGTCAAATATATAAATAATAAATCAAGAGTATACTTTACATTTAAAAAAAAAAAAGAGGATAAAAAGAATTCCAGTTTATATCAGATCGCAAAAAGAATTACTCAATGGAGTATTTATTTAATAGATAGGATATATATAACTTCAGATATATTTAACTTCAGAAACTCAAACATATTTTGCTACACTCATTCTTCATGAATAATTCATAAGAACGTATACGCGCATAATCAGTGTTCCCAAGTGAACCTTATACGTATGCACATCATTTCCAACTCTCCATTTGTTTTCTTTTTTCGTTGTATGTGTTCATGACATGAATTCACATAATAAAACTCGTGACTCGAAATTTTCTCTGGCTTGCATTGATTTAATATGCTACATATGTCGCATATTTAAAATTACTTATCGTAATATAAAGAATTTTTTAGTTAAGCCAATATTGCTTTAGTTTCTTAATATTTCGAATTGATTTAATTCTAGATTCACATGAAATACATAGGTAAAATTCTATTGTACGTGTGGGTTATCAAAATTATACACATATTTTAATAATAACCAAATAATTGTACTCACCAGTTAGAGTACTACATTTCCTCCATTATTTATTCATTCGTAGCAAATTCTGCCTTAGGCTGCTCTGTATTAGCAAAATCCAGGAATCGGAAATCCTCATTTATTGTTAGTTCTGCGTACTATCAAACTTGTGCACATCACTTTTCACTTTCACTTTTTATATCGCGAATTTGCCGCACCGCGGTACACGATGCGCTCTTCATGTAGTGACACGTATTTAATTGTAGCTGCACCCAAGGCAAGCAAGATAAATAATTATCTTAGCGGTATATCGATAAATACGGATATGTCATAACAACTCGATTTAATTTCGACGAACTATGTTTCAAAATGGTACATCTAATGAAAGATACACCGTGCGCCCATAGCGTCTCTCTAGGATTTGTACCGGTTTCAATCCATTGTGCACGATAAAAAATACATTTCGCCCATAACTTGAATCGCCACTCCCGACAAAAATTCGCACTTGTTATGAATTTTTAATGAATAAAATACGCGATTAATTGTAGAGCCTTCGCGCTTCGTGTTATAAGTTACCGTAGTAAAAACTGTCATGGCTGCCAAGAAGAAAGCAGCACTACTTACAGTCATATTTGAAACTACGTAGCCATGTTCATTTTTTAGCTGCTAGTAAAATGCTATTTGGTTCATATCTGTGCTATAATCTAACCTAACCTAATTTAACACTAACCTAACCTAACCTTGATATGTAGATCAAAAATACAAGTTTTTTTTTAATTTCGACAAATGCATTAATAAATTAAAAGAACATGTAAGAACATAAGAATAAATAATTATGAGAACATGTATTATATAATATTTGTAAGTATGTATGTCGCTAAGCATATCTGGTTGTCCACACACATATGTATACAATTACTGATAAAATATTAAAAATCATGAGAGTAAAGTTTGACTATGAAAAATCTCAAAAAATTCGATTAAAATTCTTTATAAATTATTATTAATTAATTATTAATAGTACAATCAATTTTTCTCATGTCGAGAAAATTTGATAATTTTTTAATAATATAATGACCATGTACCACGAAGTATAATGCAATAATCTGTCAAATTTTCAATACGTCCAAGTCCTACGATTGCGGGAGATTGATTGCATATATATTTACTGGCAGCATCTCGCATCATATTTGTTGTAATTGCCTATAAATGAGAAGATTGAAAGAGTTGAATTTTGATTTCTGAATTTCTGTTGATGTTCTTTACAAAGGCATTACTATTCTACTGACTTACTTCATACTTCGCGAGTCTCTCTTCCATGGGGATATAACATTTACGTAAATGAAGGCAATTGACTATGTCAAAGAAACGATCTACTGGATCATTCAATTTTTTCAATTCTTGAAACTTACATTTATTTATAGCTCGCTCTACTTCCAAATTAGTGACTGTCGTGTATAATTTTCTCCATTCTCTTAGCAGCATGGAAACCATGGTCTGTATGGATATTTTATATCATTTCTTATACTATCTTAAGCTAATTATAAAAAGATTATGTATTAGTATATATGTACGTCAAGTTCCAACTTGTCACAGACAAAGTAACAGCCCCATATACTGTTGCACGCATAATCCAAAATAAATGATTTATATAAATGGCATAAGCCTGTATTAAATGCACTATGTGCAAGATATGGTGCATTATGATTTGCTCCACCTATGTAAAAGATCTAAATAGAGTATATAATACTAGATACAGATAAAATAATTGTTAATTGTTATTATTTTCAGTTCTATTCATTAATATAATTTTAAAGGATTGCTACATCTCATAATTACTATACGTCATATCCCAGGAGCCTATAATTTCTTTAGCTACTTGAAAAGCACATCGATCTGTACATTGGGAGTAAGTTGGTCCTTCGAAGCCTATAGCTACATATCCTAATTTTTTGTTGTCATCTCTTAATCGTAAATCAGCACCTGTTTGATAAATTATACTATTAACAATTGTATTTATTAACGTATAATGATTATTTTTGTACAATATTATCTTTTCTAAACTGCATAGAAATCTATGTACCATATAATACTATATAATACCAGTAGTATTTATGATTCATTACATTTTTACCTGAAAAGCGTAATTGTTTTAAATCTGAGAATGATTTCAGTTTACAATCATCGGTAGAGGACTGTGTTTCTTGTGAACTTTCAGTAATATATTCATCCACAACTGTTTGTAATTCTGTTAAAGAAATTGCACCAGAACTAATCATAGTCATGAAATGTGGTTTGAACACACGCTTTCTAAAGCTGATTAAGCATTCCTTTTCAAAATTTCTACACATATATTAATGATTATTTTACTAATATTATATTATCAGTAAGTATTGTTTAGTGATAATGATTGATATTTTATAAATACTCGATTATGCAACTCTCAGGAAACACGCTTTTAGACAATACCGTATCCTGGTATGCAATATTTGAAAAATAATCCATTACGACATGTTCTGTATTAGATTCAACTTTAGAGAGTTCTTGGAGAATCCTATATTTTGCCGATTCAACATCATTAAAACCTGAAAAGACAATTTGCTCTTAGCATTCTAATTGCAGCAATTTATAAATATGCTAAATACACTTATAATTTAATAAATTTAATAGTAAAACAAAAACAAGACAACTAAGAAAATAATATAACATACATGTAACACCATTTAGAGCAACGTCAAGCAGTATATCTGCGAGTTTCCTAGCATTATAAGAAGGTACTGTTCCGTAAAACACAAACATATCTCGCATTGCTTTAGCCGTTAATGTTCCACCAATTTCCTGTAATTCTGTTTCAATCTGCTGCTGATTTTTTTGAGTCGTTGCCTGTTAACATATAATAATTATTAGTTATTAGTTTAGATTCATTATTTTCTCTGCTTCTACTTTGATATAATTTAAAACCAACAGTAAATTATGTATGTGCAATATATATTTCTTCCTGCTTATATAGTAATATATGATATTTGTATTATCAATTATCTAAATATGTTATAAGTACTTTTTTTATATTTTGATTTACTTGGAATAGTACATGCTCCAAAAATAATGCACTGCCACGTTCCTCGGGTTTTTCAAATACTGCACCAGCTGGTAAAAAGCATCCAATAGTGGTAATAAATGATTCTTTTTTATATTCTGAAATTAAACGCATGCCATTATTCATGCTACAATATTCCATTTTGCCCTCAGGTATTTCAAGCAGGCCAGAATTTTTGCATTTCTCTGTGCGTGTACTATAACAGTCATAAAATCTGTGATCGATGCATTTGCGTAAGAGTCCTCGGCCCTTAAAAATAAATTGATTTAAATCTCATTAAATTGTCATAAATTTAAGTAACAAATATTATGTACATATCCTTACAGTACGTGTGCAAAGCATATGCTGTTGCGCGACGTAAATATTTCTAATAGCGAACATTCTTACAATTGAAATACTATGAGATAGATAAATCAGTAATATTTAACATCTAGAAAACTAACCGTTGACATGTGGACCAGTTCAATTGTTCTTTATTTTTGATAATAGCTGTAATATATTCAAGCCAAAAGAAACAACTTTCTGTACAGAATATTTTTATTAGACATGAATACATAATGTAATTTCGTTTTTAATGGAATAAGGCCATAATTATTTAAGTATGTGACATAGAAAAATTAGTATGTAAATAAATATAACGTTACAGATTAAATATTGCTTTAGAGTTAATCTTAAAGTACAGTAACAGAAAGTTAATAAATGGCATTATCAAAATATCTGTATATCTTAGTACGCAGATTAGCATGTATATTATAACAGAGATGTGTTAATACAATTTGGCTTTATCATTAATGATAAACCACGTGTTAAAATGGTTATCTATCATTAAGTCCATTAAGTATGAAATATTTCGTATGACCAAAATAGTATAACAACAAAGCATATTGATTTACTTTTCATCATTTAAAAATTTTATTTCTGAACACAATGTTCTCGTCTATATCATAATTACACCGCATACGAAAGCATTATCTTTTTTTAAACATATTTTTGTCTGACATTTGATACTTATGTGAATATTAATATATAATATAATATTACATAATATTATATAATATTAATATACCAATATTATGATTTATAAATACACATATATTCCAAGTATCCAAATATACAGGATATAGTTTATTATTGATGAAATAGTCAAAAAAAATCTGCTTTAAAAGTCGAAAATGTAAGATAAAATATGACATTGTATTAACTCCATTAGAAATATAAGCCAGTAACTTGATGAAATATAAATTGATACATTTGTTCTTATTTTTAGTCATACACAGGGCTACAATATTTCATATTTTATGGATATCGGCAATAAAGTTATACTCGTAAAAAATATGGATTAAAGTGTTAGTTGTAGTGGAGTTTAATTTATGACATTGCACAATGGTAATATAATATCAAAATGTAAAAATCGACTTAATATACTATTATCGTGTTTAAAATCAATCCTTTAAATGCTGATTTCATATGCGTGTGCGTATACTCTTCCGTTTTTATATATATTCACAAGAATCTAGTATATTTAACACACAATCCAATTTTGTATGTATAATAATAATTTGAAGACTTAACTGGAAAAGTAATATAATATACCACATATATGTGTACATAGGCATATACACTCGTATCATTAAATATAGATATATTACATATATTGTTTTATATATATGCTTATTAATCGTGCATAAATCAAGTCATAGATATCGTATTCCGTGATAACATATTATTATTCATGTATTTAATCAATTATTTATCTGTTAATCAAAGCTCTGGCGATACAAAATGGAAAATTATATTCAGATCAGAATGATGTGATATGAGTAATGTAAATATAGTAAAAAAAAGCAAGAAAAAAAGACTAAAAGTAATAATAATAGTAAAAATAAATAAAAATAAAGTAATATTAGCGCAATAATAAATATAATACGATGATAATTGCACAGTAAACGTTTAAAAGTTTTACTTTTTACTGTGTAGAATTTATTTTAGCCTCAATGTCTTGTTGATTTAATGCTCTGCAATTATTATCTATTTTTGTGTTAATATTACTGCTTTATTTTTATGTATTTTTAATATTATTAAAAATATTAATACTTTTGGATACTTGTCATATCTCAAGATGTTAAAGGATACCTGATGTTCCAACTATTTTCTAGATGCAAGTAACTTCAGTTAAGTATAAAAGTATTAATACTTTCCTCTCACGAAATATATAATAAATATTCACTAATTCTTAATTCACTAAACACAAATTCACATGACCTTAACTATGTCTCGTGTCAAACGAGGAGACAACTTTGACATTAGTTTTTTGTGATTTGAAAGATTCAACACCTTCTCTTGTAACAGAAGTACCAGTTACGTCCAAATACTCCAGTTTTGATGCGTTCAATGCCAAGTGAACAAGACTCGAATTTGTTACACGTGGATAATTTCTGAAAAAAAATAAAGTGTTTATATATAAATGTCATTTTCTCCCTCTTTTTGGAATTTTTTAAGCTTTTTTATATTCTTTTTATAATTAATTGAAACTCACCTAACAACTAATGTTTTAAGGTTTGGATTATTGCATATTCGTCTATCTTCTTGTAATATTACCATTCCTTGCGGGGAACTATTTATCACTTTTCTGTCGCCAGTGTCACTTCCCAGTGCACATATTGCTCTGTCCGATATTAAACATCGTTGAAATCCAAAATCTTCGAAAGAGACCAAATCCTCTATATAAAACTAAATTAGAATAATAATTAGAATAATTTAGTTTTATAATTTACTTTTATAATGTTTGCACATATTGTTATATAATTCAAAATAAGATAGTGATGCTTGTAATTAGTACTTATAAGTTTGCCTTCTGCAAATACCTGTGCTAGATTATGGTCTTCATAAATAGGTATAGGTATGGGTATAGGTAAAGGCTGCCGCTGTCGTTGCTGTCGCTGTTGTACAATCTCGGACTCTCGATCTTCATGTCCTAATGTAGGACACTCCAGGTAGAGATGCGTTAAAGTTTTAGTACTACTAAAACAACCAACTTCGCTATCTCCAAGTGAAGTATCCCGCAAATCTAAGATCTAAGAACATAAAAGGCACCTTAAAGTGCTTTTTTGAAAAAATTAAACGTAAAAATAGTAGCTGTATTACAGATGCATAAATGAAAAAATGTACCTCTAATGTTTTAAATCCAAATCTAGTTGCTAGACTAGCATACGCAACACATTCCCCCAGACGATGACATGAGTTCAGCCTAAGTTCCTTAAGTTTTGGTATTTTACTAATAACCAGTAAGGAATGTGGTGTAAACCAATTACATTTGGTCAAAATCAAGCACTGAAAATAGTATGTTCACAGTTTAACATAAGACCATATAAATGTTGAAAAATTATAACAAAACAAAAATTATAAATAATAGATCTATCTTATCGTATACCTTATTGTTTTTCTTATTAAAGATTTATATTTATTTACTAAAATATTAACTTACTGTTAAATTAGGCATGTGAAGGTCCATTTTGAAAAAATAAGACTTATTACTCTGTAAATAATCCATTTTGCAACCCTTTAATGAGAGCTTTTCAATAGTACATGGAAAATCTGTTATTTGAATCTGCAAAAATTTATTAATTAAATGCAAAATTATTTTGTAGCATGCTTTTATAATAAATAATGAAGAGAGAGAAAAAGAGCCAGTTTAAAAGTAGTGTTAACATATTTCAAAAATATATGATATAATATTACAAATATTTTTGTCATAAAATGTACCTTATCTCCATGTATGTAATATTCTTCGATAATCAATTCTTTGAGTTGATTACACTGTGTTCTCACATGATCAAAGAAATTTTGTGTAAGAGCAGAAGTGCCAGAAGATAAATTGCCTCGAATTGCCAAGCTCAATGTCAGTGGTTGCAAGAACTTCATATACTTAATTAAATCATCTAGAAGTATGGGCTTGACTCGAAAATCTACTCTTCTCCACAAAGTTCTATCTTGCGTTAGTTGTGCAAATCGTTGGCAACATCTATGATTGACAAAAATTAATTATATATAAAGAAACACGAAAAATAAATATAATGCACAAGAGAAGGGAAGCAACTCACAAACTGATTGCCATGAGATCTTGCGGATGTAAATATTTCACTATGTTAAGTAAAACATCATCCGAAAAGCTCAGAATGTTTATTGATGATGTTACTCCATTTGAGTCTGCAGATTCTTCAAGTTTTACACGTTTTGTTTCCCTGCTGCTAGATGGCTCGGGAGAAAGAGACTTGCTGCGCTTTATTTTCATCTTTCTCTTGCACCTATATGTAAAGAAAAAAACAAAGAAAAAAGAAAAATAAGACAAACATATCTAATAAATGAGTGATATATATAAAAAAAAACAGACAAGTAATTTTTTTATAATGCAATTAGAAGATATAATTTCTTTTTTTATATGTGAAATTATAGATGATCTCAAGAGAAGTAGAGCTTATGTCAAAAATTTTAATATATACACACACACACACACACATGTTGTTAATTAAATGTTACACTTTTCCTACAATTAGTCTGTTTCTCAAACAATGATCTTTTTTTACAAAGAAATTATATTATTTACATATCACAAATAATGCTTGCACAAATCGAAGGGCCTTTGTTACAGAAAAACTGCATATTGTTCTGCATCTTTTCGTATGAAGTTGAATGGAATCAACCAGTTATTTCCTGTGTGAACAAAAGAGACACCAGAACACAAAGACAATTTAATTTACCCAACAGTCTAATTCTGACTGTGCTGAGTAATCCATTTTCTTTGCCTGAAATCTAGAGACAGTGAGAAAAGTTCTACTAGCCATATGCAAACGAAGAAAACTGTTTTCAGGGTTTTTTAGTTTTATATATGAGAAAAAATTCTTTTTGTTTATTTTCAACTAGTCTTATGTGTATAAAAATTTAATCGTTTCTTCATATTGTCATAAACATAAGAAACATGTGATAAATAATATTTTATCGTATAAAACGAAAAATATAAATACGTATCATTATCAAAACAGTGTAAATCAAATAGAATTTCATATATTTGTTGTTAGTGGGAAATGTCAAATAATATGTGACTGTAATTTATTGGTTGTATTTTTTTCACTAGACCTATAACTTTTTATTTTACGCAAACACAACTATAAGCGAACAGTTTGGCTCAAATAACTGAATAAGAATTCTATCCACAAGGTCTCAAATGTAAAATATCCTGAAATAAATCGAAAGTAGTATTCAACGCGAAAACATAACCACAAAATGACGCGAGTAAATTTTCGTGCGTTACGTACGAACTTTCACACTTACCTCACGAATCTTTCAGTAAAATTGCGTAAATTTATGCTTAGCACTTAATATCACCACCAAATCAATTCTTTTGGCTCTGTATAATATGAATGAACACGATATTTGTCAGAAAAACCACGCAGAACTATTACACCAACTGCTACTCCAACATCTTGTGATGTTCAATGACAGACGAATATGTCATTGTCATATGTTTCATTATTGTTTCTCTTTGTTATTGTTGACATTATCAGACTCTAGAAAAAGTGCATATTAATCATGAAAATAAGCATAAAAAATATTTTTTGCATAAAATTAAAAATTGAAACGTTCAAAAATTGCGTAACAAATTTATATTAAATAATATTAAATGTTAAAATAAATAAAACTCACCCTATTGTTGAATCATAGATCAAATAATATTATATTATTTATATTTTGAGAGAAAAAGAGATTTGCACAATTAAACAATAATTTTTGGACCTAAAACAAAGCTGAATATTATTAAATAAAAAAATATAGAAAATATAATATTTACGTCTTCTGAAATAAAAATTTATTTTTTAGCACCATTAATGTAATAATTTCATGTTTTTTTAGAGCAAATTTAATAGAAAACATTGCAGATTTTTTTGAATTTATACTAAGTAAGGCAGGAATCTCAGATAATGTTCATGAAACAGAAAAAGTTAGATGTTGCTATCGTATATTATTTAATATTCCAAAATAATCACATTATTGTTCTTAAGAAAAATTGCGTTCTTTTATTACACTCATACAAGGCAGGGGGTCTGTTGATATAAATTCATACGTGCCTACAATCAAGTTTTTTAGTTAATAAATGGACTATGTGTATTTGGCATAATAAGCATAACTTATTTAAAATAACTTCTCTCTTTGAAACTGATAAAAAGAAAACAAAATGTCTTTGGATGCAGTTTCTGATTCATAAGAGTTTTAAATCAAATATAGGCGTTCTCATACTTTACAGAAAATACTATCATATTAGAAATCGTATATTAACATTTTTCTTGCCTTATATACTGGACCACGTTATATACAATATATCATTATAGATCTATATATACTTCCAACACACACCTAAAGTCTAGGTGATATAGAGATTACAGTCTTAAAATCATCACTTTTGCTTTAATATGTACACGAACTGTATTACAACAGAAAAAACCTAAATATTAAATAAAATTCTTTTTTTGTACTGTTGAAGATTTTTAAGATTCGATACCTTTTCAAATATGTTAGCCATTATTTAAAAAAAAATGTTTTCAATAAGAAACGCATTAACAAATTTATATACATATACTGAATATAGAAAAACGTTACTAATTTAACATAGAAATTATTACACTTGAATTTATCATTTACTTGAATAAATTTTCATTTTTAATAAAACTTGTAAAATCGATCTTTTCAGATGCTATATAAAATACATTTTTCATAGTTACGCAGTAATTGTAATTAATGTTTAATGTCTAAATCTTATCGCCTGATAATGATAATTTGAAAATGTATGGGCACATATTCACATTCCACATGATCTTAGAATAAGTGTGATCACATAATATTTTTTCAGCTTGTAACATTTTAATCTGATCTTTTTATTAATCACATTCTCTTTGCTAAATGTAGATATGTGAATATGACCTGCAAATTCTCAAAGAACATTTCATTACGTACGTATAAATGTAATACTAAAATAACTATCCGATATCAAATATTTAAATTTGTGTATAGAGAAATTACGTAATATACACATGACTCACATAAAGATAATATTTGCCATCTATCTTTAAATCTTATATGCTAAATAAATGTTTATTTAGAAGAAATAAATTAACATGAGGGAGAAAAAGGTACGAGGTATTGCTTAATTATATGACATATAAGCGAATACGATTGGAGAAATGGGATGAATAGCACAAATTTCTCTTGCTTTTGGTCAATAGCATACTAAAAATCTAATGAATTATATACTTTTTATAACTATATATATATATTTTTTTTTCCAGAAACCTTCCTATGGCACACTTATTAATTGATAACTGCAAATTAAAAAGCCGTTTAGTAGATCAATAACTTACTGCCGAGATATATATGTAGATACGTATATATAATTTTCTTGAATTACAACACAATTAATCGAGTTAGTAAACCTACGGTCCCATCTTATATCTATATCTCTATTTTAGTAATTTCTTTTTCATATTTTATAGAAATATAAATAAGTCTTATATAAACGTAATATAATTTTCTTTGGTCTTATTTTTGTCCTATATCCTATGTATTTAATATAAATCATATATTTCCAGATTATTTTAAAATAGTCAGAGATTGTTGCAATTACTGGGCTAACAAGATATACTATATACAAAGCTGTTATAACAAAATTTTTTGATAGACACATAATAAAACGAAAACTTCATACATTGCATCAGTTAGATGCTATTCAATTCTATTTCTTCATACAGATAATTTTTAAATATATATATCGATAAATATTTTTATCAGAAATTAAAACAATCTCATAACTATGTTTTCTTATATACATGAACTGTCACAAAAAGACAAAAAACAAAAAAAAAACAAAAAAAAACTAACAATAAGACTGAATTTTTTAAATGTCAAAATTGCGCCATAGAAACAAAAATTATAATCCTTTTTAATCTTATACATAGAACTATTTCATTTCTATTATATGTATTATATTCCACGAATGTATATAAGCACATAAAGCACAAATAATGAAATTAACAATTATTAATTTAATACTAAAAATTATATTTCAGTCAAGTATAATAAAATTCCATACTACATTACATTTTAAACAGTCTTATTGTTTTGATGACAGACCATGTAATAAGTAGTCAATATTTTTGAAGTTTGATACAAGTGAGCATTCATTCCATACCTACAGCATACATTCCGTACAGTTAATGTTTTGTTGGCAAAATATATTTACATAGTAGTGTCCAGCTAGCTC